GAAACGGACGACAACATTAGGAAAATAATCTAAGCACAGAGTACAACATAATAAAATAACTTTTTCTAAATATTAAGTATTTGGATACTCTAACAATACCTACCTACCACAGAATGTCCTTATCAACAACGTTTTTGCTTTTTTGTCGTTAGACACTACAAACATGTTTTGTTTATCACCGCCGGCCGGGCCAGTGCCGCCGCACCGCTGTATCCCTGCATTTTTAATCTGTAACATGTTCGGAAATATTCATTTAAATTACATGCTATAAAGGGCCATATTGATCTATATGATGTGATGACAAGAGCGGTGGTGCGAGTAAACACACTCAGTAGGGTGGAACTTGTATATTAACTGTTACGTCTTGATTTACTCTAGCTTAGACTAATTACTAAGAATATATATATTAACAACTGGGTGACGTACGTGTCGTTAGATAAAACGTACACTAGCACAATCTACTATCGAAAGTACTGATTTGCATCACTATATCCTCCCCTGAAAAAGTAGGGTGTCTATGGTCAGGGTAATCCCCTCCCTCTGAAAGTTTAACATTACAAGGACAATTTTATTATTCAAACATTTACATACAAAAAGACAATAAAAAAACAGCACTAAGAATTAATTTAAGTCGATAATTTCTCAAGGTATATTATACCTGAGTACAAAAAAATATTACATTTATAATTACATTGTATTCTCAACGTATATGTATAATAAAATTTTATTGTTAATACATATTTATCACCATCTTACAGATATTGTTTGTAAACAGGAAGTAGTAACCAAAGGATTAAGGCCTTTAGTCCATAGAAATTTTGTGCTTTGCACTATTGGTCACTGTGACAATGCTCATTCATTTTCTGTAGTTATTGACTTACTATACTTATCTATACATCTTACACTATACCTACATAATCGTAATAACTCATCATACTTCTATATATACGACAGAACTTGTTAACTTGCGACTTATTGTACATATTTTTAATAATTATAACTTCCATAATATTATGATCCTTGCATATCTCTACAAGTCCTCTTAATGTTTCATCTATGCCCAACTTTGTTAATAGAGATTCTTGAATTAAATATATTCTAGATCCCGATAGAAATACATTGCACGCACTATCATGCATATTATGCATACCTAACACTTTTTCTAATGTCTCCCTATTACATATATTTAATTTCACAGGAAACTGTGATTTTCTAGTAATTCCCGCTGTCTTTGGTAGACTCAGTTTTATTTTCACTTGAGAATATTTATTAACTTTCTTAATTGGACCTTACGTAATAACGCCTGAACTTTGAACGTTTAATTTTTTTAACTCATCGGACGATATTTTCGATAATTCGTCCACTGTACTGTTTTTCGAACAATTTACATTTTACACTATATAATCTGTTTTCCTTTTATTAGGAAAAGTAACATATTTTATATCATTTTCTCTTTTTTGAAAAGGTATACGGACCCTATTAAATGATCCGTGGGGCTTTACACTTAAACAGCCCAATTCAACATTTATAATACCTTTAAATTGCATTAAAAAATATTCTCCTATTATACCATGGGAAAAAATAGCCCTCAACATAACACCCCTTGACCTATATAATATATATACAGCAGGAGGCAGCTATAGCTGCTATAAGATTATACCATCTTGGTCTATGGAGCAAAAACCATAACAGTTTTCACACTACCATCCTGAACCAAGCAATCGAATACGGACCTTTGATTGCCGCTCCGTGTGACAGAACTCAAGCATACCACTCATTCAACAGAAAATACCAAATACAAATGAAAGAGGAGGAAAGGGACCAATCTGCAAATGTATACCAATATGTAAATGAACTACGCATGTACACAGATGGCTCCAAAACACAGAACGGTTCAGCACAGGAGCTGGAGCACATTCCCTCGACCTCAACATGAACACACATATACCGCTCGGTAAACACAGTTCGATTTTTCAATGCGAATGTGTTGCCCTGACCGAGGCAGCAACAGTTGTGTACAGGTTAGGAGTCAACAACTTCAACATTAAATTCATATCGGACAATGCAGCCGTGCTGAAAGCACTACAGAACAGGAAATCCAACAACAAATTAATAACGGAGTGCCACAACGCCATGGAAAAAATTGCTACGCACAATGGTGTAATTATCCAGTGGATAAAGGGGCACAGTGGATCATATGGCAATGACGCCGTGGATGAACTGGCGAGAAAAGGATCTGGGATGGTGGTTACAGGCCTCCTCCCACTATATCGACTAACAAAACGCCTTCTGAATCTAGATAGGCATAACCTTAAAATAATGATAGGGACAATATTTATTTTATTTAAATAACTTTAATGCACGTCATACACAGGTAAAAAGTACATATGGCGGACTTAACACCTAATGGCATTTTCTACCAGTCAACCATGAGTTGCGCAGAGATAAGTTGTTGGCGGTGCAAACAATATTATAATATTTTATAGAATATACATGATATATAAATATATATATATACACATGTAAATACATAAATATTCCTACAAATATACACAAAAATATACCATACACATAAATATATGACCAATAATCTGACAATGAAATAGTGATTACAGCCGACAGTGTAAGCATATTACAATAGATACAAAAATATATATATGATTCGCCTTGTAGTAAAAATGAAGAAACTTAATGCTAAAGAGAAAAATATATAAAAGATAATATATGATAATACACAAAATTATATGTTAAGATAATGGTTCCGCAATCTTCGCTTGAAAGAAATTTTACTCGTAGCAGTCCTGATGTCAAGGGGTAATTCGTTCCAAAGTTTGATAGTCTGAACGGCGAAAGAATGATGGACAAAACCGGACAAATGTGCCGGGACATGAAGTAGAAATCTTCTAGTTGTGCGAAGGGAGCGATTGGTGTTATCCCCATGGAAGTGAAATTTACTACTAATATATTCAGGACAATTAGGATCGTATAAAATAGAATAGAGGTTACATAGCATACGTACATTTCTGCGATAGCGGAGAGGAAGCCATTTAAGCTGTGAACGGAAAGATGAAATATGATCAAACTTGCGCAAATTGAAAATAAAGCGAATGGAGTTGTTGAGAAGACGATCCAATTTGTTTAAAAGGTCTACGTTCATATCAGAACAGCACACATCAGCATAATCCAGCGTGGGGAGCACTAAAGATTGGACGAGGAGAATTTTTGTACTCGTAGGGAGGAAATTTTTCAACCTACATAAATTCCGTAAAGTGAGCGTAATTTTACGGCTGACCTCGTTAATATGCTTATCCCAACTGAGTGTACTGTCCATTAATAAGCCGAGATTTTTAACATGGGAACTGTACGCGATATGTTGTTTATTGAAAAGAACTGGAGGTAGAGTGTCGAAATTAATTTTACTGAGTTGCTGATTACTCCCGAGAACTATTGCCTGACATTTGGAGGGATTGACAGACACACCAAATTTATTGGACCAATTGAATATATGATCAAGATCGCTATTCAATTAGTCAATGGCTTCATTGACCTCAGATACAACAGCTTGAGAGTAAATTTGGAGATCGTCCGCATACAAATGGTAAGAGCATTTGAGATTTTTTGTGATAAAATCAATAAAGATAGAGAAAAGTAATGGAGACAAAATACCGCCTTGAGGAACCCCAGCAACAAGATCGCACCAATCCGATAATGTCTGATTGGCACGAACTGCCTGCTGACGTCCACGAAGATAGGAGCCAAACCATTTAACAACTGATGATGAAATCCCAAGATAAGAAAGGATAGCTAGTAAAACATCATGGTCAACGGTGTTGAACGCGTTGGAGAAATCGATTAGAACTAGAACGGTTAATTTTGATTGTTCCATGCCTTCCCTCACGTCCTCGGTAATTTTCAGCAGAGCAGTAGTAGTACTGTGTCCCGGACGAAAGCCAGATTGGTAGGGGCTAACCAGTTTATTATTAAATACAAAGTCTGATAACTGACGGTGTACTACAGCTACAAGTATTTTGGAGAGGAAAGGCAGGATTGAAATGGGTCGAAAGTCCTTAAGATGCTGTGGGGATGGCACTTTTGGAAGTGAAATAACAAAAGCGTTGCGCCATGCTTCAGGGAATTCAGAGGAAAAAAGAGAAAAGTTGATGATGTGAGTAATGATTGGAAGCAAATGTTCAAGTAGGAGAATAACCAAAATCCTACTCACATCATCATTACCAATACTATTACTTTTAATAGAGGATATTATCTTGTAGACTTCATCATCAGTAACTGGCGAAAATAAAAATTCTACGGATAGTCTAGGCCAGGATGTTATCTCAGCTAATGTAGTAGATTTCTGAAAATTATTCAGAGCAGGAATAGTCGAAAAGTGTCTGTTTAGTTCATTTACTGAAAAGTGAGAGGAGAAATGATTGGGCTGATTGCATAGCCCAAGTGATTTGAGAAACTTCCAGATATTGGCCGAAGAAGAATTTTGAATATTCGAACGGCGTTTAGCAGCTCTTACCATATAGTTGCAGCGGTTGCGCGCAATTTTGAAGTTTCTCCAGTTCTCTTCGCAGCGATCCCTTTTGAAAATCTAATCTGATCTGATCTGATCCCTAAAATATGGTCGAGCGCAGTGATGGCTGGCTCATCCGTCATACTCGTGAACGGGTGCTGCTTGTAGGGACTGGTCTGCTCTAATCACTATGACTGATTTCCTCTTATTAATTGTTTAACCAGTTGGTTATGTATTCAATATTTTTTCTTTTTGAATATTTAATTGAATTAGTGCTAATTGGTGGTTTGTATTCACACACTTAAACTTAAAAATGTAAAGTAATAATAAAATTATTTAAAAGAGCAACACGCAAGTTTCTTGCTCGTTCTTCTTGTGATGAGACAGCTTTCCGAACGAGCGGTAGATTAAAAAAAATGTAATGACTATTCAAAAGTGCTTCAATGTAAGTTTATTTGAATAAATGATTTTCTATTCTATTCTATTCTAATATTCTAAAAGTACGATCACGTTTTCTCATGGCAATACGAACTACCTCCGTTATCCAAGGAGCTGGCTGTCTCTTAACCCTGACCAGGTGGGCAGGAGCATGTTTGTTCATGATTTTAAGAACTGAATGATTAAACGCAGCTACCTTGTCGTTAATACAGGAGGCAGACAATACGTATGACCAATCAACGGCTGTCACTTCCTGGCTTAATGCTGTTAGATCTACTCTAGAGAAATTACGTAGACGAATTACTGCCGGTTTAGGCTTCAAAGTTTTAATATTGTAAGTAGCACATATGAGATCATGTCTGGAGAAACCAGGTGCAGGAAAGTGGCCATGTTTGAGTACGGATTCATTAGATGAGACAAAAACTTGATCGATCCAGGTGTCAGGGGAATCTGTATTAGTGTGAGTAGGACCAAGGGGTAACACCGAAAAGCTTGCCGACTCCACTATAGTGCGTAGTTTGAGAGATCTGTGAGTGTCTCGGAGCAAATCGGTGTTGAAATCCCCCATAATAGTGATGTATGTGTTCCGACATAATGATTTCGAAAACAGATTCAATGTCATGGAAGTAATCAGTGGAAGGGGGACAGTAAACAACACCAAGAACGAACTTAATTCCCCTAACATCAATCGCCACGAATAAATATTCAGCACTACCAGGGAGTGATGAGCTAGCCAAGGTTTTGAAAGCTAAGCCACTCCGTAGATACATAGCTACACCTCCACCACGTCTATCCGTGCGATCGTTGCGTAATAAAATATATCCTGGTAAACTGACATGGGTGGAGGGTATGCTAGGTTTAAGCCAACTTTCAGACACCAAGATCACATCGAGGGTATTTGAACTGAATGTATTCATCAGTTCACCATGGTGCTGAGGTAAGCTTTGAGCACAATAACGGGCCATTGTCCCTTAAACAAACACCTGTACACAATAGATGCTACAGACAGTCCCCTTTGTCGGGGTTGCGTTGAAGCTGAAGAAACGGCGGCTCACGTAATCCTGGAGTGCGCAGCAGTGACCCCACAACGAAAACATGTCCTCGGAACGGTGAGGTCGCTCCGTAAAGCCTGTGAAGATACCAGGATACTTCTGCGCTTTTGGGAAGAGCTTGGCTTGCTACTTTAGTGGTCTGGATTTACACGCACAACGGCCCAAATGAGAGGCTAATTGCGGAGACCATTGGAATCCAATTTACATTTACATACATACCATGGAAACTGCACTTTTTCTTCTTTAAAAACATAAAACTTTTTGTCGAAATCGCAGATTCTGAAATTCTAGATTCAGGTAAACAAGAATACCACAAACGTCTTTTATTGTAGCGTTATCTTTATGAATCTTTATTAAACGTAAATTTTTTAACCTATCAGACTGCATCGATGGTGGGGTTTGAAACAAACGGTCGTCTGTTGAAGCCTGTTTATTCTCTCCACAGAAGTTTCACAATTGAATTATAGCCGTATTAGATGTTACATTTCAATTTCAGCCGCTGTAGCTCGGACTGTATCATGTCTATACGGAACTACTGTGACTTGATTCTACAATAATAACGGACTATAACTGCCGTCCGTACTGTGTTTGACTTTAACAGCCGTCGGCGTATAACAATCCGACTATGACTGTCTGAGTACAATTCTCGATAGTAACTCGATTATAACTGCCTTAATACAAAAAAATCTCGCCTTATATATATATAGATATATATTTATAAGGCGAGATATACTGTAGTGGGGACTACAGTCCTTACAAAATTCTTACTGGAAATAAACCAAACCTTATTTCTATCAGACAATGCGTTGTGCATTATACAACTTCATAACAATATCCTTTAACATTACCGAAATTCCCTTACCTATTTATTCTCACAAACTAACAATTACTCATAAAGAATGCATAGCATTTTACAACTCTACCCAAGAATATTTAACATTGGTGCAATAACCAATTTCCTTGCCTAACTACAATGCACTGTAAACAGGAATTGGACAATATTCATAAAGACATGAAATATCGTGTCCGTCCGTTATTCCACAATAAGAATATGTTTACAATAAGAAACCCTACGGTTATCATAAATCCGATGGCTAGAAAATAGTAACGGTGTTATCTTATCACAAAAGGTCAACAAATATTCATTGTGTTCCTAAACAATGAATGCCAAATGAACGCCGGTACCCAAACAGATGTTCAACAGTTATCGTAGTTTTAAACAGTGAATCGACGTCTTATTCTAAAACAGCACTTTTAAAAACTAAGTTATTGTCCAATTTCAACACTTATTGTCTACCTAATCTACACAAATATTATAGGTGCGACGCGACGCCGCTTATACGTGTCGCCTGTCGTCAATATCCTCCCCTCGGCGTAGACTCGTCGCAGCCTCCTTTCACTGGTAAACGGCGACTTCTTGTATCCTTGGTGTCAGCACGGCCAGTTTACTCGTAGACCGACGAAATACACCTCCTCGCGTACGCACGTTGCAGGGGTTCTTCCGCGGGCCCAATTGGGCCACCGGGTACGGGCCTCCAGCATATGCTCATTACCCGGGCATACTGCTGGGCGAGTCCGCGAAGATGTGCTTCGCACTCACATTCCGCGCGCGAGAACTTCGCGGGCGTCAACCGGGCGACAAATTGCTCCACCGTGGGGACCTTAAGATCGCGGGCGATCACGTCATTGCGGACGTACTGTTTGGCATTTGTGCACAGACGGAGGGCGACGTTTTGTTGGACCTGCAGTCTTCGCCGCTGTGTGACCGAGCACAGTTGCGGGGGAGGTATATGTGAGCCACGAGTAACTTCTATTATGAATCCTGAGTATGCTATAAATGCATCTCAAGAATTAATAGCATTATTTGCGGCAGGAGATTTCCAACTGGTTAAGTGGTCTAGTAACTGCAAGGAAGTTCTGTACAAAATTCCAGAAGATTATCGACTGTCACAACATGTAGAATTTGATAAAAATGATGTTTTAAAAATTTTGGGGCTCTGTTAGGACCCTAGTAATGATGTTTTCACATTCAAGGTTATCCCAGACGAACGACCTTGTACTAAAAGAAATATATTATCTTCAGTCACTCGTTTATTTGATGTTTTGGGTTTGGTAGTCCCGGTAATCCTTTACGCAAAGCTTCTGATAAAAGAGTTATGGATTCTAAAGGTGGACTGAGATGCAACACCTCCTCCGCATATAATAAAGTGTTGGTCTCAGTTCCAAACGGAACTACCGCTTATTTCGAAGTTATATGTTTGCAAGGGTCTCAACCCAGGAGACAGACTAATTGTGAATTGTGAGTGACGTGCGTTCAAGCCGAAACGACATCGCTCTGAATATAAAATTTTTAAAAATATTTTAATAACGATAATTTGCACTTTAATTGCATAGAAACGAATAATATTTATAAACGAAATTCTTGAGAAAAATGTATTTATTATAAGTGTTCCTATGAAGAGTTATAGCAAATAGTTTAGTCATAATGCCGAATTGTAACTTACGAAAGATACCAATAACTTTCGTGCCCTAGTGAAAAGTGGATTTAAAGTTAGTAACTGATATACAATATATAAACTCTCTAGAAGAAAACTATGTATAAAGTGAAAGTGTAAATAACAACGAAGATCGATTAAAATCGAACATTTCAACTTCATTACAAACGATCAACCAACCGTCAGAATAATTAAAAATTGGACTTTGGACCTTAGAAGACACTACTTGAAAGAATCAAAGATATCTTACATATCTAATTCAACTCATAGTTCTAAATTTCGCCAAAGCAAGTAGTTGTTTGGTGGCCTAGTGGTCAGCAAACCGAACTCTTATCTCGTAGCCGTGAGATCGTATCCAGTTATGGTGAACTTTTTGTATGCCAAATAGCGGAATGCGTAATGCTAATTTTGAATCGCATTTAAATGTGCTCAGCGCTATCTATTAACAAAAGTACGGAAAAAAGTAATTTGCTTCATACGATCAATTGGGAGTATACAGTATAAACTCGAGATGGCGACACAATGTTCCAGCTGCCATCACAAACTTCCTAACAGAGAACATTTAGTCTGTACAATCTGCAATAACATATATGATTTGGAATGTGCAAATGTATCTGTTCAGCACTTTTATAACACAATGACATTGTCACACAAAAAGAAATGGAAGTGTAAAAAATGTAAAACTACTAATATACCAGATAGTACACCTATAACAAATAATACAAAATCTACACAACTAAATCCTAATAGCAGCGTCCGGCAATATATTGGTACCCCACAAAGTGAAAGCAACATCACTATAAGAAAAAAAGTAGCATTATCGAATAGATTGGAGAGTTCCGATAAATTTCGTGAAACACTACATTCCAGTAAAAGCATTGAAAACACAGAACTAAACATGGTAAGCATAGATGAGATTATAACTTCACGATTGGAGGAGAATAACACAATTCTTAGTAGCGATTTAAAAAATATAATGAAAAGTGAAATTGATAAAGCTGTAGAAAAAATAATAAACAATCTTAAAGAAAATTTGGGTCAACCAATAAACAACATTTACAAGCAGAACGAAAAAATAAACACTGATATAGATCAGATAAATACAGACATAGAACAACTTACACAAGAAAATAATAAACTAAAAAAAGAATTACGTGAACTTCAAATAAAAATGTCAAACCCAGGGAATTACTACGATAAACTTCAAAACAATAGTAGGAAAATCGTACTGTATGGTTTTACTGAATATAACAGGGAACATGAGACCGATACATACAATAGACTACTACAAACTTTTCAAGACATAGCAAATATAAACTTGGTGGGATACATTGACGACATATATAGGCTTGGTAAAAAATATAATACAAATAGACCCTTGGTTATCGAGTTATTAAGTAAAAAAATGGTGAAATACATAATAAATAGTAGTCGATATTTTTATGGTACTGGATTATACATCTCTGAGTACTTAGATAGAGACGCTCAAAAGGAAAAAATGGCTCTGCGAGAACAAATGTTTCTATCTAGGAATAGAGGAAATCATGCAATAATACGTAATAATCAACTATTTGTGGATGGAAAAAGGATTAACTGGCAAAAGAAGGAAAAAACGATATTTGAAACTAGCAATGGCGAAGAGCATGATAATACAGTAGAATTTAACAATAGTCAAATAAACTTAGCAACAAATAATAATAGAATTAGTACCTTTCGTACCTTTCGCAAAAATCGATCCGTGCTTTAGTATAATATTCCAAAATTTGCAAAGTCTTTATAATAAACAAAATATATTAGAAGCCTTCATAAATCAGCATCCAATCTACGAAGCAATTTGTATAACTGAAACTTGGCTGACAAAGGAAAAGTATAAGCTAGTTGCTCTTAGCGGATATATAAAGGCAGCTTCCTTCTGTCGAGAAACAAGATGCGGAGGAGGCGTCTGTATTCTACTGCAGGAAAATATTGAAAACATAGAAGTGAAGGAGATCTCCGAAATGTCTAGAGAATACGTATTGGAAGTTTGCGCAACAGAATTAACCAAAATAGATACATTATTGATTGTAATGTATTGGAATGGAAGAGAGGAAGAGATATTTAATATACAATTACAGAGAATATTGAAATTTATAAACACCAAATATTCAAAGCACAAAATTATATTGGGTGGAGATTTTAATATAAACATTCTAATAAAAAATGCAAAAACGAATAATTTCTTATGTACAATGTCAGAATATAACTTGAAACAATTTATAAACTGTCCTACACATATTACAAAATCATCTGCCACATGTATAGATTTAATATTTTCTAATATTGATAAAAATAACGTATCTACAATAGTTGAGGAGTTGGGATTTTCAGATCATGCCGCAACAATTATAAAAATAAAATTACACTTTCAAAATAGGCAGTCAACTTGGTACCTTGAAAAAAGACTTTATAATACAAATAATATGGATAATTTTAAATCAAAATTAATGGACATTAACTGGTACAATATAATAAAATCAGACAATAACATAAATCAAAATTATAATAGATTCAATAATATTTTAATCCAAACGCTTAATAAATGCATACCTAAACGTAAAATAAAATTGAAAACAAAACATAAAAAATATTGGATTACAAAGGGTATTAAAGTCTCTTGTCAAAATAAAAGACATTTAAAGATACTTGCATCAAAAACAAAAAATCCGATACTAAATAATTATTATAAAAAATACGAAAAATTGTTAAAAAAAACAATAAATAATGCAAAAAAATTAGACTATATAAATAAAATGAAAAAATCGTCCAATAAAATGAACACTATGTGGAGTATAATTAATGAGCGTACAAACAAGAAAAAAACCATGGATAAGAGCAACATAAAATTAAAATTAAATGATAATGTCATTACTGATCCATTTAAAGTCGCAAATACTTTTAATAGCTTCTTTACATCTATCGGAAGTGTAAACACAAATTCTGTGCTTGGCTATCCCATACTTCATTCCATCGAAAATACATTATTTCTTAGACCGGTAGATACCCAAGAAGTATACACGATCATTAAAAACTTAAAAAATAAAATAAGCTCAGGAATTGATGAAATGCCACCGAAACTGATCAAACAGTGTGCCACTGAACTAGCTTTACCACTCAGCCTTCTTATAAATCAATCATTTACCGAAGGAATATTCCCGAATGAACTAAAAAAATCTCTCATAAAACCAATGCATAAAAAGAACGAAAAAACAGATCCTAACAACTACCGTCCGATAGCGCTTTTACCAGCAATTTCAAAAATTTTCGAAAAAGCCATGTGTGTACGCGTCTATAAATTTTGCGAAAAATATAATATCTTTCATGACTCTCAAAATGGTTTTCGTAAAAATCGATCCACAACCTTAGCAATATTCAAATATATACAGGAGATTCTCAATATCATAAATGACAAAAAATATGCTATAGGTATATTACTAGATATGTCCAAAGCTTATGACAGAGTACAGTTCAACATATTACTGAATAAATTATATGGAATTGGCATTAGAGGAAAAACTCATGAATGGTTTCAATCGTATTTGGCAGATCGCGAACAATTTGTAGAAATCGAATACTTCAATTATGACACTAAACAAATACAAACTATAAGATCAAGTGGTACGGTTACAAACGCTTCTATACCCCAGGGTCGTGTAATTGGATGCTTATTGTTCTTAATATATATAAACGATCTGCCAAAAATTATAGACGAACTGTGCGTATTGTTTGCGGATGATGTGTCACTTTTGACTTCATATGATATAGGTTAGGTTAGGTTAGGTTAGGTTAGGTTAGGTGGTCGGGCAACCTCCTAGTATGGGCCTGCCATTGGGAGGCTTCCCCATCCTCGTGGATACGTCCGCGGGGAACGGTGGCCGAGCAATGGTTTGGTTCTGGTACGCCCCGGGCGGGATAGTAGACGTTCCTTCGGGATACTGCTACTATGTCGGCCAGTAGCCCGGCGAGTAGGGGTGGACGCTGTTTAACGGCGCCCGTCCAATTATGGTGGCGTGCCACCTAGGCCGATTTCGGCGAGAGGGCGACGCGAGCGGCTAGGACAATGGGTCCTGACCCCAACCGGGACCCGTCCAGGCCGTGAGCGAAGCATTCGGGTCGGGTCCGGTGGTGCCTTGCGCATAGCCGGACTGACTCACACCGCAAACTTGCACTGGGTGTTGATGACAGGAGGTCGTCCACTTAGTGTGAGAGCGGGGGTCCTGGGTTCGCCCGGGGCTGCGAGGAGCCAACCTCTATAAAAAACCGCTCGCGGTCGGGTCAGAGTTGATGAGGAGGACGGAGTTGCGGGCAGGAGTGCCCGTAGACGACGGAGTTGTCTCTGGCCAAGACTGCGAGTGTATCATCATACCGTAAACTTGCACCGGGTGTGATGACAGGAGGTCGTCCGCTCGGTGTGGGAGCGGGGGCCCTGGGTTCGCTCGGGGCTGCGAGGAGACAACCTCTATAAAAAACCTCTCGCGGTCGGAGTCAGAGTCATGAGGAGGACGGAGTTGCGGGCAGGAGTGCCCGTAGACGACGGAGTTGTCTCTGGCGAAGACTGCGAGTGTATCTTCATACCGTAAACTTGCACTGGGTGTGATGACAGTGGTCGTCCGCCCAGTGTGAGAACGGGGGCCCTGGGTTCGCCCGGGGCTGCGAGGAGACAACCTCTATAAAAAACCTCTGGCGGTCGGCGCGGCTGTCGACGAGGAGGACGTCGTCCGGGCGAGGAGCGCCCGCAGACGACGGAGTCGACGCGGCGTGAGAAGACAGCGGGAGGATCGTTGCTAGGCGTCTTCGGATGCTGGGCAACATTCGAGGAGGCAACACTACCGGCGCCTACGGTTTAACCGTGTGGCGCGGTAGTGCTTACGGAGGATACGGTCCCGGAGGCGCATCGCGAATCTGGGTAAGTATTCACGAGTGGGCAGCTCCCGATTTTAACATGTTAAGATCGGGAGTCCTATCTGCGGAGGACATCCCCGGGCTGCTCCTTGGTGCGGTTTGGTGGGCAGACTGCTGACGGCGCAGGGAGTACGTCGCCGAAGGTAAGTATGCGTGTGTCGCCCCGACCCGTCGGGGCACCGGGCGGAGCGGTGCCTTCAGGACCGCTTCCGTCCGGCGGGAAGGCTATACGCGGTCGCGGCTGCGGTGCGCTTCTAGCGCAACGCAGCGGCGATCGCGGCCTTTGCGTGGGGGGCGGAAGGTGTATTTTTCACCCGAAGCCCCAACTTGGACACTCGGAGCGGAGGATGTAGGGGCATCCGAAGTTCCCAGGAGGCGAGTGATCCGTGGAGTGTGGGCGTGGAGTGGTCCCCGCGCCCAACTTCGGCGGCTCCTTCACTGGAGACCCGCGGCCGGAGTGCGGTCGAATGCAAATGCGAACCCGCACGAAGGCGTCTTTCGTGGTTCATGGAGGAACACCGAGGGGTTTTGGTGGGTCGGATTCGTCCAGTCCCACAGTATTCGTCCGCTCCCCTTCATAAAGGCGGACGTTTCGGTATTGAAACCTTTCCCCTCGTTAAAAAAAAAAAAAAAAAAAAAAAAAAGGTTAGGTTACCTGCTGGGTGCGGGCCCCATTGGCCGCGGTCAAGAAAGTGACGACGGCAGGGCGGATCCGGATCGGCTGGGTCTCAGCCGCTGTGGAACTGCTGCGGCAGAAGCCACTCCGGTGCTTCCGGTGCCTCGAAAGCGGGCACGTGCTGGCCAGGTGCTCGCACGAGGAGGACCGGAGTGGCTTGTGCTACCGGTGTGGGGTTCCCGGCCACAAAGCGGCCGGATGTTCGGCGGCCCCACACTGCGTAGTTTGCGCAGCGGCGGGTCGCCCAGCAGACCACCGGGTGGGGGCCAAAAAGTGCCCCCAGTCCCGGTCCAAGAGAGCGAGGGGATCCGCACTGTCGTCGGCCCGCGGCAATGGCCGCCGGGGAGAGGCTGAGGTGATGGACACCGGTCAATAATGGCAGTCCATCGCCTCCTGCAGGGGAATCTCAACCACTGCGCGCGCGCCCAAGATCTGCTTCTGCAGAGCGCGGCGCAGTGGGGAGTTGACCTTGCAGTGGTCGCCGAACCATATCGTGTCCCACGTAGTGACCATTGGTTCGGCGACCCCTCTGGCCTGGTGGCCATTGTCGGTGCGGGCAATCCCGCAACCCCGCTCGTCAGCCGCCTATTCGGCGGAGCGGGGTACATAGGTGTGAGTTGGGGGGAAACCGTCGTTGTCGGGACATACTTCTCTCCGAACAGGACTCTCGCCGAGTTCGAGCAGTTCATGGACGGGCTGGGGGCCGCTCTTGAGCTATACTCGGCCCGTCCAATGATGGTGATGGGGGACTTCAATGCCAAATCCACGGCATGGGGCTCCCCTATCACCGACTCTCGAGGCAGGGTCCTGGAAGACTGGGCGGCCGCGGCCGGCCTGGTGGTGTTGAACCGAGGGTCGGCCGCCACGTGCGTGAGACAGCAGGGGAGTCGCATGTCGACGTATCCCTCTGCAGTCCAGCGATCGCACAGAGGGTGCGGAGCTGGCAGGTGTTGGATGAGGTGGAGACTCTATCCGATCATCGGTATATCCGGATAGATGTTCTCCCCTCACCCGTAGCTCCGCACCCCGGTCGCCAGGAGAGGAATGTCCCACAACTCCCCAGATGGGTGTTGAAACGTCTGAATAAAGACGTGCTGATGGAGGCTTCCATCGTCCAGGCCTGGGTTCCCATA